ACCCTGCAACAAAATGCATCCCAATTTTGAATAAAGTGAAAATGAAGCCTCAAAACAGAAATGAAACAGGCATTATTATCACATAAATACTAAGACAGATCACTGCTTAGACAACAACGGAAAACACGTGTTTTTCAAACATCTTCCCAAATCTTGTATTTGCATAATCCTGCAGCTGCTTTAACTTTCCAAACACATTTAACTGCAAGCCTTGAGCATCAAAGCAATGATAGCTTATTAGCAACTGAATACATGCAATGAATGTAAACCACTCTACATAAAACGGATATACTTTTTGCACTGCCTGCGGATGAGACTTTACATGTTTGTTTGTTTTTATGTCTTATTTCTTTGTCACATTATGGCATATATCCTGCCTGAGATCTGGCACAGAATCAACAACTCAGGAGCTTTGCTGTTCATTCATCAGCATTCAAACATTCCTATTAGCTCGATTAGGTTATTAACAGGGAGAGAGTTTGAGTAGGCAATGACGTGTCATCAATATTTGATTACTTATGCCTCTTTCCCCACCGGGAGTTATACTAAATTAAATGACTGCATGAATCCTCAACTTCCACAAACCACCACAGCCCTCCTCAGCCTATTTGAGATACAACTCTGAATAAAATGTTATTGGGAAATGCCTGCATTTGTTCAGCAAACAATGAATATCAAAGTAAGGATACTGTTTTAGTACATTTAGAAAAACCTTTTTTTTTATACAAAGCTGTGCAGAAAATGACACTTCAGCTCTTTGTCAACTACAGCTGAAGAGGTTATCTCTCCAGCCATCACATCAGCGTCCCAAATATTGTTTGCGCTCGGTTGGCTAGCCATGCCTGGGAAAAAAGTTTGAATACTAAATGTGGGCTGGCAGATGCATCCACCAACACGAGATAAGAAGTGAAAGCGCTCGTGCACACCATTCCACTTGAAACCCCAGAGGACAGGTCGGGATCCCCGTGGATCCACTTAGATTAAACCACCTGCCTCTCCTGCATAATGCACAAAAAAACATTTAGGGGATTTCACTTTTTGTTTCATTTTACAACGTATCACATTCACTGACTTGACATACAATACGTGCGTGTGTTGAAAGTCTGCTAAAGCCCTAAAGTCAGTAAGACTTAACCGCCCGTGAAGAGTCATTTATCACTAATGTGTGCTTCAAAAACTTGCAACCTAATCTGGTATCACTTGTCATTTCATTCCTAAGTGAGCACAAGGGATACAAGTAACTGTAGAGCACTGTTGAAAAGAAACTGCATAGGGTCAACAAAAATATGGCTAGACTAAAAGGCTGACAAGGCAGGCAACTCGGGAGCCATAAACAGAAGAAAACTGGTCTTTGATTGCTAATTCTTGCTAAAGTGCAAAACGAACCATCAGTTTAAATGAACTTTAAGTTGAACTCAAGGCACTGTGAACTAAGAAGTTTAACTTTAAATTAAGAGAAACCAATCAACTGCCTCTCGCAGATTCTTCACCCAGCAGCCTTGGGGTTACAATTTACAAGGTGGACAACTTTATTGATCATCATAGGTCAGAACACACTAGGATGACTTTCGATACCTGCACAGCAATGCTGCATCCTTAAAACCTGACCGACAATGTTACCCAGGAGCCGGTTCTGCAGAGTTCACAGAGGAATCTGTTGACTTGGCACCACAGGTTGCACTATCAGATGTGCATCACATTTCCTGCTCTCTGCACATTGTTTCTAAAAGAGGGTAGATGGAAAAACTGTACAAACAACATACAGGGAAAAGCATGCTTTTACAGGCAACCCAAGATAGCAGAAAACTATCTTATGTATCATTCAGTAGCAGAAACACTTTATCTGCCACTTGTTTTAAAACAGAACATGACTGTTATACATGGTGTACGATGTTCTGCTTGTTGTCCTTCCTCTCTTTCCATGATCAGGTCAGTTAGCATTGGAATCGTGCCAAATGAGAACTGACAGCACAGTGTACCACTATTTGCTTAAAGTATGAAAAAAGAACACAACCTGAATTCAAGATAACTGTAATACAAATACATCATACATACATCATACTAGACAGAAAAAGGAAGCAAAGGCAGATAATAGCTTCCAACTGACAGATGTCTGGATTGTATTTAGATCCCTATATACATATTATATGACAGACTGCATGCATTAAACAGAGAGAGAATGTAAAGGTTATAGATTTAAGCTTGAAAACACACAAGAAAGGAATACAAAAGCAGAAAAACATCTTGGTGTAAAGCAAGTCCTGTGAGGCTGTGAATGCAGTTCCAAGAAACATAACATAATTTGGCTTTATTGCATACACTCCCCGTATCCCCTGACTATATTCTACTTGTAATAAAAAGTGTTAACACACAGTAAGAGCCTATCAGCTAGATCTTGCCACAGTTCAGTAAAATACAGTTCCCCTTGTTTTCAGTCTTTTCGCTAAGCTAACTGACTGGAGTATCATACTTAGCATTCAGACATGTGGTTGGTATCCAGCTTCTCATCTAACTTGAGGCTGGAAAGCAAATAAGAATATTTCCCCAATCTATAAAACAATTTATTTCACAGGGGACTGATGGCTGCAGGGACTTTGTTAAATTGGTCTACTTTTGTCTTGTGGATAGCAAACTATGGCAAAACTATGGTGTTCAAGACCCTGAACGGGCTACGAATGGTTTTCCATCGTACTAGCAAGCTAATAGCAGTTATTTTATGTAACTGCTTGTTCCTGCTTCAGGTCTTGATTACATAGCAAACGTGACAACCACCATGTGAAGAGCAAAAGGACATGCTTGACTGCATAAAGAGAGCTGTGTCAACATGTTTGTCTTAATGTCAGAAAAACTTAAAATTGTTATGTCACTGGCAGCAGACTGGAAGCAGACTTGCTTACACTAATGTCATGTCTTCATTCTGAGATAATGAATACAAAGCCCAGGTCTGAAGTGGTTCTGTTTGAGCTGTTTTCGGATAGTGTTGTTATTCAGGCTTTTGATCGCTTATGAAATATGAATCTATATTTACATGTTTGCGACAAGGTCAATATGTCTTTCAAGATAAAAAATTGCAGGTACATATAACATTGTGGTTTCAGGTGTTTGACACTATTAAATATGGTAACATTTTAAATAACAACTACATGACAAATTACATTTTCATGAATAACTGAATACTGAACAACTAATCTTCGTCAATGAAGTATGAAGAAATATTAAAGTTTACTGCCACAGTAGCCACTCTATTTAGACTAAATATCAGCATGCTATTTTTTAAATGTTTACCATGTTCGGGATTTTAGTTTAATGTGCTAACATTTTATCATTAGCAAAGCAAAGTACCAGTGAGGCTGACAAGAATGTCATTAGTTTTGCAGGTAGGGTATTAACTCATTTGCTCCTAAAATGGCTTAAAATAATAAATGTCCAAAACAAGTCAACAGAGCTTTTTAACCTCAGAGCAGCTGCTCAGAACTCTCTTTGGAAGTATGTCAAAAGCAGATTAGTAACAGATCCCTATGGGTAATCCTGGGAATCCCTCAGGAAAACCAGAAATAAATCTAAGAAACAGACATTTGGGATGCTATGGATGGCTCTTGTCACTGTTTACCCGACCTCTTCGAATGGCAAATAAATGGATGCAAGACAGTTTATTTTCAAAGTTCATTATTACCTAATTTTCTCCATGCTAAATGACCTTTGCAAATCTTGAAATATATATTTGACTGCACTTAAATGTCCTCCATAAACCCCACTTTACATGATTAACAGCTGTCATATTCCATCGGGTTCATCACAGGCTCCTCGCTTACCTCGGTGTCATTCTGCCAGAGCTGGACTGAAATAGTGTTCAGACACTGTGACCGTACAGAATGAGAGATAGTGACAGACTGATTTTCCAGAGAAATAACACAGAATACTCTGTAGTGCCGAGAGAGATTTATAAAAAGGTCAGTGTTATAGTACGTCCTCTTCTGATGAGTCTGGTTTTATCAGCCACCAAAGCCACACAGTCTATGACTCATCAGTATTGATTTGCTACCACTGATCTTCATGACACAAACACGCTCCTGGACACAAAGATCAAGCATGATCAAATGAATCTGCACACTGTCAAAAGTTGAGTTAAATGTCTGCATGCTGAGCCATTTGGAGATATGACCAACAGAGTGTGAACACAGGACTATGCAGGGAGGTTAATCTTGATGATGTGCCTGAACAGCAAGTTTTTTTTTAACTGCACTCCTGATATAATGCTCCACTACATTTGGCCTACCTACTCTGCTCTGCCTGGGGCTTAACCCACTGCCTGCAGATAGGGCCAGCCCTCAAACATAATTGCATAATGGATCCATCCCAAGAATGTGCCCTTTTTTCAGGTTTGTAGCTATTGTATTCCATTTATCATGGATAAATGTGCCTGTCCACGCACATGACATCCTTGTGTAAGACCACAGAGGGCTAGAGCAAAGGCATAGTTGACACTACTGTCATGCTGAAGTTACAGAACCTGAAAAACATCTGATTCTGAGTACGAGTCTATAATCTACAGCACATCTTATACTGAAATGTATCTGCTAAATATCCCATACATATTGACATACATCTTACACTCTCAAAGGCAACATGAATCAACTGTACTGGGAATTCATCTGTTGGGAAACTACAGGTTTACCTGGGTGCTTTGGAAATTCTCTCTTGCATATGATCAGTAAAAGCTATGCTGTCCAACAAACCCCATTTTCTACCGTGCGTAATCCCAGGACCTATTTTCCATCAGCAAATATCAGTAAAAGCATCTGATGCCAAAGTAGACTAACGTTAGTTGCAACTGCGGATCACTGTGTGGCAGTGTTGGACCTGAACTAGTTGGGCTCTGCTTTGGCAATAATTACTTTAATCAGGTACATTATTCTAACTTTAAATCCATGAAAATAATGCAGTTCAACAGGGATGATTTAACTTTAATAAAAGCAATACCAGACGAGGTTTTGTCTTACTTTTCCTGTGTGATATGTTCCTTTATGGCCCCCAGGGTGAGCAGGCTGTTGGTGCCTTGCAGCAGCCTGCAGTTCGCCAGGTGCCGCTTGTACTGCTCCTTCAGACAGCCGTTCTCCGAGCACAAGTCGGACACTTGCTGCTCCAGCTCCTCGATCCTTTCCCTCTGCCTCTCCAGCAACTCCTGCTGGGTCTCGATGATCTTGTTAAGCTCCTTCAAATATTCCACAGCCCTGGTAGGGTTCTCGGTTGGGTTTTCCATGTCGCTCCGCTGTGGTTCCCTGCTGTATCACAGAATGGTTCCGTGTAGTCCAGACCGGGCTTAAGCGCAACAATTCACCGGGTTGCGCCTTTTACGCCTCGCCATTGTTTTAAGTCCGTGTGGGTGATCATTCAAATAAATAGTCCCTGTACGCGCGTTTAGAACTCCTTTAAACCCACAAAACTAAAAGATCCTAATCACGTACCAAGCTGTAAATGTCAAATGATCAATCAACCAGAATGTGACAGACTACATTATGAGGATCGAAGCTGGCTCTCCGTGAAGTCCTGTTCCCCCATGTTGGCAGCACGCTATGACATTTTGTGTGAGGCACCTTTAGCTCCATGCTGCTCCCGTGACTTTTCGTAAACAGACGCTGGCTGTCAAGTGGGCGGGGTTAGCAAGTTTTATGAACCTGCAGGTCGCAATGAGCGCAACAATAGCTTTGCAGCAGCTGGATGAGGGGAGGTGGGTTTGTCCCTCAGTATACTCAAAATACTGTCTCATGTCCTTTCAGCACGTGTTTTCTGCATGTATGCACACGAACACACACCCTCCCCTCTATCACACTCGTATTGGAAACAGAACAACTTTTGCTTTATATTCCGCCTGTGCTTAATGCTGGTGGTGCTGCGTCTCTCCTGCAGAGTTGTTTAATATGCTGTCTATGTGATGCCGTTTCAACAGCAGCAGACTGTTCCCCCCTCTAGTGAAATGATCCTAATAGCAGGGAGCAGCGTGGGTTAGTGTTTGAATCAAAAATGAGTTTACTGTTCAACACATGTGTGGCAGAGGCTGCAGTGGTCCCAAGGGTGCACTGAGAGAGCCAACTGCAGCACTGCCTGAGATACAGAGGCTGATGCTGGAGTTGTATCTGTTATAGCCCCATCTGCCCTGCTTTGACAATTAAGATTCTTGTAGGATTTCTATTTCTGAAATGGGACTTAAAACTGTTACGTCTTTAAAATACACAGCCTGTGAAGCAGAAAGAAAAAACCTTGTGTAGTATTACAGACATGAGAGGGAAATCAGTGACTGAGACTGAGTGGCAGTTTGCATTATTCTCTCTTCTCCCTGTGTCTTGAATCGCTCCCCAATGGCTGACTTTCTTATCAAAGTAACTTACACACTCACACTTAAGAATAAGCCTAATTGTCAAAAAACTCACAATATTTTCATATGCACTTCCTTCATAGGGGTCCCTTTTCTCTTTTGAAATTTTTTTGAAAGTTGATTTGAGGTTTTGTATGCCTGAATGCAGTCACAGCGCAAACACACAGGGTGAATGCTTTATCCATGAAATTGAGGGTGTTACCTTTATGGCAGGCTTCACCACGTGAAGGCTGCACTTGGATGATTTGTGATAAGTTATTTAATGTGGAGGCAGAGCTGAAGCAAACCACTGTGGGAGGCTGTTTAAGGACATGGAGTACAGATGGGCTACATTAGCTTGTTTTTCTGGTTTCAAATTTACGTGGCAGGAAGCCAAGGACCGCTGCAAGAGCCTTGACCTGCCACCCAAATTATATACAACACAGCCATTAACAGCCAAAAGTCACAGGGTGGTGCATGTCAACACTGCCAAAAGCAATGCTTAATTCTCAGTTCATTTCTAGAGATTTATACAACACAGAAGCGGCACACACCATCATAAGGTTAATGTCTTTGTTTTGTGCCCTTAGCAATACAAAACTGCCAACCATTACAAGCAGTGTCCCAGGGAAAGGAGACCATGAGCCCACATGCACATCACTGCATCGTTTTATACTTGCTAAAGTGTCCTCTGGTGAGCTATTGAATCCCTTCCAGCTCTAATGTTGCTGTTCCTCAACTGACCTTGTGTTTTAAAGACAGAAAAGAGAGGAGAACGAAAGAGATAAAAGCAGTATCGCAAAGAAATCAAAATCTGCCATATTTATATTTTTCTAGTGAAATTGTTCATGCAGCTCCATTGGTCAACTTACAATAGCTTTAGGAGTTTAGGAAGTACTGAACCTTATGACTTGTGTGGATGAGGCAGGCCAGCAACCATTAACGCCTTCCAAAACAAAAATCCATGTCATTATTATGCTCCTGGGCTCTCTTTCCTTCCTCTGGCTGACCGCTCAGATGCCTGTTCTGTACCAGTGCGGGTGCCAGCCAGAGAGATTTATTTTGTCAAATTGCTCATATATTTGCACTGAGGCAAACCCACTCGGAAGGGCTCTTATATCAGCCCTACAAAACATTTGCCAGCTGTGATGGAAGAAATGCCACAATCATTTAACCAGCAGAGTGGAAACATTTTTATTTTTATTTTCAAAGAATGCCAAACACTTTCTGCTGAGATCAACAATCACCTCATATATATGTGCATATGTGTGATGGATCTGAACTGTCACAAAGAGGGAACATTGAAGGCTATAAAGCAATTGATTTGTTTTCTGAAATGCACATGAAACGTAATTAAAGTCATAAAGACCAAAACCAATTACGTTAGGGAGTTTCCTCAGTGGTGCTCTCGCAACAAATCCAAACAGTAAGAATATAGATTGGGCGCTTGATTAAGTTTTCATCGACATTTGTGTCATTTTGTATAATAACTCTGCAACATGAACTTCAGTCTTCAGCCTATTGACATTTTTCCTGAGGAAACACTCATATAACCAATTAAAAAAGTAAAATTCAGTTCATAGTTAAAAAATACTGAACTATAAAAACTAACTAAGCATTAATTGGGCTCAAATCTGCAACTTCTGACTTCCCTCACGAAGAAATCGCCTTCTAACGAGACCTTTATTACACCCCCTGATCATCCTGAGGGAGCAGCCTCACTATTCTTGTCAGGTCTCATTCGATGCCCACCTCATTGATCCCCTCCACTGAGATCACGGTAAGCCATCTGGAACAGAGGCGGTTTCCCTTCACCCAGGACGCAGCAAGATGGCTCTCAGCTCCACAGACTGACAGGTGGGGTTTATACAACCTGTGTGCCTTAATGGAGAGAATACATTGAGTGTCATTCTAGCTTAACACGGATGACTGCCTTAATGAGCTGTAGATATACTACACGGTCACGTTTAAAACCCACGTGCCACTATCATTTCATGGGAGTCATTTAAAAATGTTCATTTCCACTTTTGAATTTCATCACATTTGAACTGAAGCAGAAAGTAAATCAAAATGAATGTGAGGCTGCTGCTGTGCTTCTGTCTCCTGCGAGCAGCTGCTGAAGCAGATAGCCAATCAGCTTAATGTGTTTCCTTACCCAATACAACACAGCAGTTAACATGTGGTCTCCTCCTAAGCCACCCAACATCTTAAGATACCCTTAACCGTAGCTGTAGCGTTAGCCTGAGCTACACATCTGGCCGTCCTCCTCATAAACACCTCTCAGGCATGAGTCGATGCTCTGTCTGTCTACCCCCCTCTGAGAAATAAAGAGCATGTGGGAAATAATGCAAAGACTTAAGCAGCTGCTGTGCGTGTCCCAGTCAGAATAATTTTTTCATGTGCAGCAGAGCAAGTTTGTTGGTTTTATGTGTCTGTAAACATACTTTTTACAGTGTTTAGCCTTGACTAATAACACTGTATTAAAAATTAATGAACTATATCTGTAACATTTTAAGCAAAAATGCCAAATACGCTGGTTCAGATTCTTAAATGTGAAGATGTTCTGCTCTTGTTTGCTATATATTATCATGAAACAAATATGTATAGATTTTAGACTTATGGTCGGATGAAAACAAGCATTTCAACACAGGCCCTGATAAATGTGGTGGTCATATTCTGCTTTTCACAAATTGGAAACTGATTGATTATTCTTAAAACAGAACAATCTGCACTATAATAAAATAATGTGCACCCATGAATAACTACGACCCTAGAATAAATAACAAAAATGTTAACAAAACTCATATGAACGTTTCAGACGGTTGCAGACGATAAATCCTGCTGCTTCACAAATAATTCTGTGGTGCACATTGTGCTTACCTGCTGGAGATCGTGGAGCATTTGCTGACATGCAGGCGGCTGCAGAGGGCATACCAATGAGCTAGGTGACTGGGACCGTCCAGAGCAGCGTCACAGACAGATGGGAGATATTTGATCAGATGTCACAGACCTTTACACATCCTCAGGGAGACAGAGAGACCGACAGCCTCCTAATCCGCTCTGTGTTTATCACATCAGACTGTGGAGAGTCTACAGGCTTTGGCATAAAAAGGATCTCAGCCATTGTTAATATACAGAATTACCTGTTTCCCATGAAGAGGAACTTTATATTTACATATTGTGCAGTGCTTTCCTTGCATTACATATTTTATTTCTTCTGCTGCAGCAAATTAGTTTGAAAAATAACCCTGTTGAACCACCTTTGCTGAGAAGACATTTTTTTCAGTTATACGCAATAAACTAGGGGGAAAATGAAGAAACATCCCAAAAAAAAATGTCTTGATGAAATATTGAAGAGGATAGGAAGAATTTAATGACCAGATAAATGAAACGGGTGATGCAGAAATCTAATTTGTAGCGATAGGTGACAGAATCGGTTTTGTTAGTGGAGAAAGAGCTATAGTTTTTAGTCCAGACTTCATCTACATGTGTCTGTATTTGTAGTTATTCAGAACAGAAAATATGCTGTCTGTAGGACTTTATAATTTATTATTCTGTTGTGGAAAGATGGTTTCCATTAGTCTGTTTATTTTGTAAATGTTTCATGCAAAATAGTTGTATAGATGACGTCTTTGATGAATAATAACCAGATCGATGCTGAACGTGAAAAGTACAAACTTTAATTAGCAAAAGGTAAGAGCGTTTTCACACAAGCAAACACACTTGTCTGTATTATGTGCTGAAAGCTTTTCAGATATGATTGTAAGGCAACACAAAAACAGAACTGAAGCCATTTGATCCTCACACATACTCCTCTTACAGTAACACTGAGTTTCACTAGCTAACATAAATACGATTGCTTATCAGCATTTTAGTTCAAAATGTATACAAAAATATCTCATTTAAAACAAACTCACACTCGTCCATGTCTCGTCAATTCGACAGTGCTACATTAAACTCCTCCCGAAATGTGGTGGCGCAAAAACAAGCTGAACATTACATGACACCAGGTCACATTTGATTGCTTCTGCACTAAAGCAACACCGGGATAAAAACTGAATGAGGACATTGCTAAACTGTTTCACATTAATAAATTACACAGGAGCTGCATGCATTATGGCTCAAAACCTCAGTAATGTTGAATAATGAAGTAAAATGCCCAGAACAGAAATAATTCTAACATTTTCCAGTAGGAATTATGCACATTTAAGGGGTTCATCACCTTTAAATAGGACGGTTTCAGTGGACGGCATTT